CGTTCACCATTCGATTCGACGGACGAGCTTAAAAATCTAAATCTGTTTTTTTTTTTAAATGTGTTATGTAATTTAAAAAAAAATTGTTTTTCCTTATTTGCTTGAATTTTTTTTTTCTTTGGTCGTGTTTTCTCTTTATTTCTTTTCTTTCCGCACCCTTTTTGTTCTTAAATTTTTTTTTCGTGTGTTCCGGTTACCCACATCAAAAGATAGACCGAGCGTTTCAAGGAAAATCTAGATTTTTCGACTGACTGGATATTACAGCTGTCCGACTAATCGGTCTTAATTGTTCTTTGCAGTAGGAATTTTTATATCTTTGTGTGTGTGTGTGTGTGTGTGTGTGTGTGTGATATCATATGGGCAATGAAAGCACTTTCTTTTAATCGTTCATATATCGTTAATGATTGAAGGGCATGTAGTGCAAGATTTTGGATATACATTTCTGATATCCCAATAACCATTCGAACGAGTGATCATATTTCAGCTGATGCATTCTTCGGCCTTCCACGCAATAAGGAAAGGATGCATTTCTCTTTTTACTTTCCCATATTTTTCAAGTGCTGCCTACCAATATTTTATATTAGGTTGGGTCACAAGTCATTTCCATTTTTATGAACAAATTGTAATGAGAAATATATCATCCTAATTGCTAATCATACGTGTCAGTTATATGGATTACACTAACACGTAGATAGATAGATAGATAGATAGATAATTTCCTCGACTCTCCAGTCTTCGGCGTATGAGGGTCAAGCAGCTCAGTTCCTAGGAACCAACGGCCCGACGCACATGAGATTTAATTATAGTGGTAAAGGTTTTGTGCAGAACTATCTACACTTTTTGAGGGACCGAAGACAGAGACCTGATGCATATATATATATATATATATATACATATATATATATATATATATATATATATATATATATATATATATATATATATGAAGAAAAATATACGGAAAAAACAAACAAAAATCCTAATATGCAATTATGCTGTTTTAATGTTAATATAATGTCAACGTCGAACGTTTCGGTCTAATAGACCATCTTCAGGACATCTTCATAAAACATAATTAACATAGACCATATTCAATTCAACATGAAAAAGACGATGGACATAAAAGCAAGACCAATCCAAACAGATAACTGAAAAATTTTTATAAGATCAGCGTTCAGCATAATTGCATATTAGGATTTTTGTTTGTTTTTTCTGTATATTTTTCTTCATACTGTCGGATCTATATCCATATATTTGCTTATATATATATATATATATATATATATATATATATATATATAAAGAGAGAGAGAGAGAGAGAGAGAGATAGATAGATAGATATATTGTAATAGATAAATATTAGGTTGAATCATATATTATTTTTATTTAAATCTTTACAAGAATCAGATTAAAACAAAAATCGACCATATATGGAGGGGAAAAGGGATATCAAAGCCCCTACCCCACCTCCGTGGGATGAGGTTGAAATAATAGACAGAGAACATCAATGGAAAATACGAAAACGTAAGGAATCAATCATATATGCTTTTTCCAAAAATCCTAAACCAATTAAAAATAGACACAAAATACAATATGGGGAACCAGTAATATAAAGTACTAGAGAAAAACAATAACAAAAAATCGTAATATGAGCACTGGTAAAAAAAAAAAAAAACTTTCACTGAAACATTAAGTTTATAAGTCAAAAAAATTCACCAAGAACACATGGCCCAGTAGATAAAAGCGTTGGTTAAAGTAATCCAGTAACTTGACCCTAAATACGTTTGACGTTCAATACCTGGCCACGGTAGAGGTGAACAAAGAACTTGGAGAGTTCAGTTACTAAAAGGAATTAACTGAAACTGAGAATAGTGGAACCAGGGAACTAGAATACCTACCCAGGTGGATAAAATGAAGTTCGAAATTCGGTTCGAAATTTCAATTACCTCAAGTAGGCCGGAGCGTAAAACGGCTGAAACGTCGTGAATATGACAACAAAGATGAGGACAACTGTTCGAACGATGTAAATAGTATAAATAGTTACAATACCTCATCTCAGAATTATAGACAGATCCTGAAGAAGGTGGAAGCGTACAACGACCGAAACGTCGTGAATTTGACAACTGAGATGTCAACATTCCAGACAATGTAAATAGTTACAATAATCTCATCTCAGACATATATATATATATATATATATATATATATATATATAAATAAAAGTAGGAGGATTTGATAATTATATTTTAATTGATTCATTGAGTCTGATAGAAACCTCAAAAGGAAATAGAGGAAGCACTGGACGGCCGTTTCGTCCTTAATTGGGACTCATCAGCAGTGCGCATCCACCACCAAGTTTTTCTTTATCAAATCCTCCTACTTATTATTATGAAACCTTTATCTTCGCTTGAACTGGCTTAATGCTCCAGTCGGCGCGGCTTGGTTAGATTTCGTGGCTTCTTTACAGTCCTAAAAAACAGAGAACTCAGTAGAGTTCCGCCACGGAATGTGTGAGCGAGCGGCGCTAAATTGTCTGATTAGGAATCTCTTCGTTATTCCAATTCTCCATTTGGTAAAGTTGGTATGTTGTTCGCTTTTTACAACCCAATTTTTCAGGGTTCGATACTTGGTGGTGGATGCGCACTCCCCAATTATAGGACGAAACGGCTTTGTCCAGTGCTTTCTTATATTTTCACAATATATATATATATATATATATATAGAGAGAGAGAGAGAGACAAGCTAAAGCAGTATATAAATAAACTAGCTAGGGCGGCATTTAAACTAGCTCTTGTGTAGGGCTTTTGATTGGACTTTCATCACAATAGGTAGGTTGGTGTAGATGGCAACAATAGACTACAGAAAAACTCAACATTTATCGTTGCATTTAAGTACTGCATTAATATTTAAGCTTCCCTTTTACAAGTTCAACGATAATTCTTCTGCCGCCATTTAATTTAAAGACAATTTGATGTACGTAGGTCCTTACTTTCCGTACAAACAATTATTTTTATTTCATGGATGACTTTCGTAGAATTTCGCAATTAATTTCGATTATTCCCAAATTTATTTCCAAGTTATAAAAATTGTTGTCGTACAAAAATTTTCGTCGACAAAAAATCGCGTAAAATTTCGCAGTAATGTAAACTTGGGAATCCAACATTTCAGGATTGCAGGTCCCAGGCCAGACCGGAATATTTTAAATTTGCTTACTGGAGTCGGCCTTATTCCAGAATGGTATAAAATCTTGGGCTACGGCCTCTAGGAGTAAAGTTGAAAAAGTTGGACACAGTGACACACTGACATTCGCATTTATTATATAGATAAAACAAAAATGGAGTATTGCTGCCTTGTTTTGACTCCAGTTGCTTAATTCTCATTTTTGTTTACGTGGTCTTGTATGGGTCAATTTATTTTCCACTCGGCGGCCTCTTTCTCCACAGTCGCAAAGTCGTAAGTCTATCGTTACTTTATCACTGTTTCCATGGCAAATAACAAACTCCATTGCACTAGTTCAGACTTATACGACTAGGACATGGGGATTTTTCTTTGAATACTAACGTAATTTTAACGTCTTCAAGACAAAGAACAATCAGTATCTTTTCTCATCTTTATAATCTTCACTTGCTAGCACCTCCTCTTACATTCATATCGCACACCTCTTTTAGTAACCCTTGGGTGGCTCTCGAGCCTAGTCTGGATGAATGTTGGTTTGGTTTGTTTTCTTTTACGGCATATCAACCTCAATGGATTATTTAATGCCGACAACATTTTTATTGCTAGTGATGTTTTTCTTCAAAAATTTATTTCTGTGAATATTTTTCCTTGAAGAAATCTATAACTGGTCATATTTTTTACAAAGAATGTATAGCTGTTTGTATTGCTGGTACTTTTTTTTATGTATTGCTAATTATATTTCTTCTTTCGAAAATTATTGCTGGTAATTAATTTTTTTTATTACAAAGTATTTCTGGTATTAAAACCTATTTTTACACAAGTTTAGGTGTTAACTATTTGCCCATAGCTGGGACCCTAACAGGTGCTACCACCCCGGGTCAGGGTGGACCTGGGAACACCAGCAATTAAGAGGCGGTTCCACGCTCCTCAAAATCTCCTGATAAGAGGCATTGCTTCTGGATGTAGTTTACTGTCTTACCCAGGACGCGGATGTAGTTTATCATCTTAACCAGGACGCGGATGTAGTTTATCGTCTTCTCCAGGACGAGGCTGTAGTTTACTGTCTTACCCAGGACACGGATGTAGTTTATCGTCATGCCCAGGACGCGGATGTAGTTTATCGTTTCTCCAGGACGAGGTTGTAGTTTAATGTCTTAACCAGGACGCGGATGTAGTTTATCATCTTACCCAGGACGCGGATGTAGTTTATCGTCATGCCCAGGACGAGGATGTAGTTTATCGTCTTACCCAGGACGCGAATGTAGTTTATCGTCTTACCCAGGACACCCCGTCCTGGGTAAGACGATAAACGTTGGTATAAAAAGAAACGAAAATTACTGTATACGAAACATTCTGAAACAAAGAAACGACAGTATAGCGCCGAGGAGCTAAAGATATGTACTTGCTCTTTACAATGGCGGGTATTGTTGCTAGTTTGAGAGAGAAATCAAGAATTGGCCATTGACTCTGGAATTGATTTCATTTCATTAAAAAGAAATAACATCATTAAAAAAAAAAAAAAAAACAAAAAAAACAGCATGCCTCTGCCAACTGGATCGATCGATTGATCAGCGCGATGACATTTTTCCTGTTTATATTCCGTCTGAATACGTCGGAGATATTTCGGTTTGGAAATCTGATTAACCTCGCGCAAGATTCTCGGTGCACGAACCATGTCGCATTTGAACTAATGTTTTTCGCCCAGCTTTGAATAGAACATTTGCCATTGAAAGGTCAATTGAAAACAGTTGCAATTATCACTTGCATTCTCTCGTTATCGGCCTGAGTTCGAAGTCCTAAGCAGCATGTCGCTAAAGAAAGCAATGTTCGGTGGGAAGGCAAATCTTTTCTTCCAAATATGGAGAGCCCGGTTTGAATTTAACAGATGCTCTCAATTTAAGTGTTCTATAAAGAATTTCTTCTTTTCTTTTTTTCCACTCCTTTTTTTTGATTTTTCGTTTTTGTTCGTACTTTTTAAATATTTCTTTCTGTGTCCCTGGCTCTGTTTCGCTCTGAATGTTCATTCATATCTATTCAATGTTAATATAATCTTTAAGGATAATCCCACCTCATATCGCTTTTTACTTTCTTTTTATTCGTTTTTTCCTGTAAACAAACTTTTTTTTATTAATGTTTTGATTTTATTAAGTTTTTATTTTTTATTTTTCCCTCCTTTTTTACCATTTTTCTTTTAAACAAAGATTTGACTTTTACGCACTTTTTTCTTCGCATTCTCTTTATTTTAAATATTATTATTTTTTATTTCCTTTTTTCTTTCTTTTCTTCTTACTTTCTTTCCTTTTTCTTTCCTTTCTTTCTTTCTTTCTTTCTTTCTTTCTTTCTTTCTTTTTTCTTTCTTTCTTTCAAGCACAGAGCAACATCTGCGTACTTTCATTTTTCCCTTTCTTCTTCCTTTTATTTTATAAACTATTCGAAATTTTGCTTTCTGTCTTACATCTATTTTTCTTTCCTTCCCCCCTTTTCGATTTTCTCTTTCTATCTTTCTTTCTTTCTATTAAATGCAGAATCAACATCAATGTACTTTTCTTTCTTTTTCTCTCAATTTTTCAAGAATGAAGTAATAAAAAAATGAAGGAATACGTATATATATATATATATATATATATATATATATAAATGAAGGAATATATATATATATATATATATATATATATATATATATATATATATTTTTTTTTTTTCTTCCTTCATTTTTTTATTACTTGATTCTTGTTTTTCTCCTTTACCTTCATATTTTTTTCTTTCTAGCTTTCTTTTTCTTTCCATTTCTTTCTATTGGTTTTACTAACATTATTTTCCTTTTTTTTTTCATTTTTCCTTTTTTTTTCTGTCTCTGAAAGGCAGGGCGGATTTATTCAGTTACCATGTCTCTATTTCTCATTTTTTTTTCTTTTCTTTTTTTAAACGTAAGGCCAATTTCATCCCTTCACCCTTTTTTCTTTCTTTTTTTATTCTAATTCTGTTCCTTTCATTCCTTCCTTTCTTCATAGTAAACGCAAGGCCAAATCAAACACATTTTTACTGCGTATCTCTTCTTTTTCACACGATCACATTCTAATTCTGTTTCATCGTCTTTTCTTTCTCTTTCTTTCTTCAGTTAGTTCTCTCTTTTTTAAAGTTTTCCTTTCTTTCTTTCTTTTAAATGGAGGCTCAATTTTGACACTTTATATCTTTTTCTTTTTCCTCAAGCACACATTCCAATTATTTTTTCTTTTTTTTTTTTTTTCTTTCTTTTACATTTTCACTTCTTTCTTTCTTTCTTTCTTTCTTTCTTTTATAATGCAGGTCGAATGTCAACATTTATCTCTTTTTTTTTTACCTCCCCCACACATTCTACTTACCATGTCTTTCTTTTCTTTCTTTCTTTCTTTCTTTCTTTCTTTCTTTCTTTCTTTCTTTTATTCTTTCTTTCTGTCTTTTTCTTTCTTTTATTCTTTCTTTCTTTTAAATGCAGGTTCAATTTCGATACAATATATCTTTTTTCTTTTCTGCACGCTCATATTCTGATTACCTTTTCTTTTTTTCTTTCTTTTCCGTTTTTACTTCTTTCTTTCTTTCTTTCTTTCTTTCTTTCTTTCTTTCTTTCTTTCTTTCTTAATGCAGGTTCAATGTCAACACTATCTCTATTTACCTTCCCCCCACACATTCTATTTACATACTCTTTCTTTCTTTCTTTCTTTCTTTCTTTCTTTCTTTCTTTCTTTCTTTCTTTCTTAAATGTTTGGCCACATTACACTTTCACTGTCACTCGTCCTTTTCTTTTCTTTTTTCATTTATTTGTTTTTCTTTATCATTTAATCCTTTTCTTCTTCCTTTCAAAAAAATGTTCTCTAAGACGCGGGACCATTTAACACTAGATTTTCTTCTTTATTTTTTTTCTTCTTCATTTTTGTTCTTTTTTAAATGATCACCGTTTACTGTCGACCCCCGACTCTGCATTTGGTTCGCCGGCCCCATCCCTAGCGTACCACAGAGCAACAAACCCGCGTTGTCAAAACGGAAACGTGAATATTATTATGGCCGATCGCCAGGCTGGGGTCTCCTGTGAAGTTTGTAAAGCAGAGAGTAGGTGATTGGGGGGGGATGGTGGCGAGTGGAACAGACTGATATAATGCCAAGTGTCTTGACGAAAATCTAAAGACAGAGTAAAAGAGTGAGCCGATGATGATGATGATGATAATAGTCTATGATAGGTGCTTAGAGCAGGAGAGAGGAAAATGCTGGTTGAGGTTGAGCATTGGGGATAGGCAAAGAACAAGATTTTAAAATGAAACTCAATAGGAACGTAAGGCCGGTGATAGACATGGCAGTCGGGGACAGTGGAGAGAGGAGTGGGGTCAGTGATTAAGGAAGAGGAAAAGAGGGAAGAGAAAAGACAAAGAAGGCGTACAAGGAGAAAAGGAAAGAAGAAAAGTGTAAGGTTAGGGGTGGAATGTACTGTTCATTTCCGCCGTCCGCCACAAGAGGGCGCTGCGATCGATCGACCATGAATTAAATGAGACGAGACGGACAATGGCGTCCAGTAGGGTCGCTGCAGCCGATGCAAGGACGCAAAGATAGAGAGGCAACCTTTCATGAAGCTGTTTCTTAAGTGTAAGAAGAAGACTCCATTAATCGAACTTTTAGCTCTCTTTTCTGTCCAACCCCTCTCTATTCTTTATAGCTTTACTCTCTCCTTCTCTCTGTCTTTTATACCTTTCTTCTCTCTTTCTCTCTCCCCCTCCTCTTTTTGTCCATCCTCCCGCTTTTCTCTCTTTCTTATCTCTCGCCTTCTTTTCTGCTAGGGACCTCTTCTCTTTCTCTCATACGTCCCTTTCGTCCTCTTCCAATCCTTATTCTCTACCCCCGCCTCTTTTTTCTATACCTTTCTCTTCTTTTTCCTCCACTTCTCTCTCTCTCTCTCTCTCTCTCTCTCTCTATCTCTCTCTATCCTTCTTGTCTTTTCCTTCTGCTCTCTTTTCTCGTTACGTTCTTCTGCTTCTATACCTCGCGACTTTCGCTTAGCTCCTTTCTTTCACCGTCTCTGTCTATTTTTCTACCTTTCGCTTCCTCCCACTTTTTTCTTTCCAATTCTACCTCTCTCTTCCCTTGCTCTCCACATGCCTTTCCCTCCTTATCTCTCTGTTTCTCTCTCTATGTCTTACCCGTTCAAAAACTCCCCTCTTTTCTCCATGTTCTCTTATATTAGTTCCGCTATTTCACATTGCTACCTACCGTAATCGCCTCTTATTTTTCCAGCCACTGCCTCCTACTCATTTCTTCTTTCCTCCCACCCTCTCATTTGCTTTACTACCAAACTTCAAACCCCGCTCTCCTTTGATATGGACATACTCTCTAAAAATTGTATAAGCATGGCCTACTGTTATATCACGTTGAAACACAGGTTCTCGCACGATCACCGAAGTTAAGCAACGTTGGTTTGGTCACTACCTCGATGGGTGACCGATTGGAAACACCATATGCTGTAAGCGTGGGTAAGTGATTATTATGGCTTAAGGCCACGTCACGTTGAAACACAGGTTCTCGCACGATCACCGACGTTAAGCAACCTCAAGCATGGTCAGTACGTAGATGAGTGTGTGCTTAAGTTGTTATTATAGCTTACGAATTAAATTGAAACAAAGGTTCTCGTACGATCATCGAAGTTAAGCAACATTTGTTTAGTCAGTACCCAGATGGGTGACTGTTTGGGGGACATCAGGTACTGTATGTTTGGATGTGTCAGCTGTTTAATGGATAACAGCACAGAATCGTAATTTAGAGATTCCAATTCCAGTTGTGTACTTTATATTCACTTACGCGCAAATAACCTTGGGAAAATTATGAAGCCACCTCTTCGTTCCCCAGCTATGGGTTAATTAATATGTATCAGTAAAAATCATTACTATCTCCTAAGACTACTTACAATGTAAAATGTTTTTTGGCTTTGAATAAAGAGTAAAATGTTGATAAGCCAATCAACCATCAACAGAAATAACTACTCACAGACTGCGAGTATAGCTTGATTATTTTGATATTTTAGCTTAGTCTGACACAAGACCAAAATCGGAGAGCACTGTTAATGTTTGAACGCACTACGGTGGGAATAGCGAAGATTTTTTTGTATTGTTCGAGAATCAAGCATATTTATTACTTCACGTAACTTAATCTATCACAAGCCCAGATTTGAATGCTACACTATGACTGGACATACTTTCGGGCAAGAGCAGTGTGACTTTTCTCAACACACTGTAACAAGAAATGTAATCTTTATGATCAAAAGGCTATAAAGTACGACACAAAGGTTTATTTGAACCGCTACGAAAACTTGAATTATTTTTGGAACAAATTTACTGGGAACAAATCGCATACAGATAGAAAATTAATGGAGCACGTGCACAAAAATAGAAAGTTGCTTAAGACAAGGATGCATCTTCTCGCCGGATTTATTCAGCCTATACTACAAGACGATCTTAAGAGTAATTGATATCCTACCAGGATTTATTATCGACGTACACAGCGTGTGGATAGCAGATATAAAAAGAAAACCACATATTAAAAGTAGCAAAGAAAAGCGAGAAAAAAAGAATAATCATTAATTGTAAGAGGGCAATGTATGCTGCTCTTAGAAAGAAGAGCAGACGAATGTGGGATGTTAGAATCAAAGCAGGACAGAAATTTAAATATTTGGGAATTGTTATAACAGACGATAGAAAATGTGACATCGAAAGCGGAAGACGTATTGGAATGGTAAATAATGACATCCAAAAGCTAAGCAAAGTAATAAGAATTAGGAAAATTCCGTTAGACACACAGAAAAGAGTTCTGAATCGCTCCTACTGCTCCTCTAGAATCTGGACCATAGCTAAGTTAAATAGCCAGGGGGATAAGAGGTTCCCCTGTTTAACCCCTTGTTGGGCGAGGGGATCAGATCTCTCCCGATCTGCAATCTGCTAGAGCTGAAGTACGATCAAAAATAGTTCAGAAGGAGGTCGGGGACCCCATTCTGCCGAAGTCTGCCAAGGAGCGCCTTGTGCGAGATTGAGTCAAACGCCTTCCGAATGTCCACGGATGCGACCACTAAATTTTCGTTCTTACATCGGGCTTCGGCGATAGCCGCATGAAGCTTAAGGACCTTGTGAACTATCCCGTCAAGACTCTGAAACCCGACTTGGTCCTGATTCGGCAGGGATGCTTCAAGGCGACTACCTAACACTCGTTGGAACACTTGCGAAAAGTAATTTCCAATAGCAATAGGTCAAAACTCCAGAGGATCTCCGGGCACTTCCACCTTCTTGATGAAGGTCACCCGAGAGGTGAACATGTTACCGGCTTTACCACTGGAAGGAGGCTGACCTTTTAACAATAGCAGATTACAAAGCAGGGTGATGGCCTCTACGGGAATATCCCGTAAGATGTTGAGGCGGAAGCCATGAGGTCCGCGGAACGAATCTTGCCAAATGACATTGAATTCTTGACAGGGTCTGTGTGTGTGTGTCTGTACGATCGGATTTCCTACATTTTTCAACCGATTTCAACAAAACTTCACAGGTCTGCGTAAAATTACCTTGCGGTAGTTCTGACAGCGCCAAAATTTGGAAAAACACAATTGCTTTTGCACGAAATCAATTTGAAAACACGATAAAACACGATTCTGTCGCCAGAATGAAAGGGGGACAACTCATATCGAGTTATACTTATTATAAAACCCATGTTGTTTGTGTGTATGTGTGTGTGTGTTCGTTTATATATGGGATCGGATTTCCTACATTTTTCAACCGATTTCAAGAAAACTTCACTTTTTTTGGCAGGTCGTGTTTCTTATTGTCTTGCACACCTTTTTCTTTATTTTTAGATTCAGAATGCTTTCAAAATTCCATTTACAAGACAATTGTTTATAATAAAATTCTATTATTTCGGTAGACTCATAACGATTGAAAACAATGTTTTTGTTTGAGTTTGGGTTTGACCAATTCGTAAAAAAAAACGAAAAAACGATAATTAAGACAGAATTAGAAAAAACTAATTAAGACATGCGTTTCCGTTAACCTTAAACAATAATCTTTGTCAATTTTATTTTTCAGTCTTTATGACGGTAGATACTTGATCTATCTCTTACTGTTACTTCCCCGGGTAACGCCGGACTCTCCTGCTAGTATATAATAAATGAAACAAAATAAATAAAAGCAATATTTACATTTTTCAGTTAAACTTAAAATCCGTTCATTTTTTTAAAACGCGTCATCTTTTGAGTTCACAATGTTAAGTTTTCAAAAACTTGCTTGTTAATTTTAGACCAAGGGTTCCCAACCGATTTTGGGCCATGCCTCACTTTCTGTTATATTTCCGTGTGAGTTCGTTTCAAACATCCTCGTCGCCACTGTTATATTGCGTGCTAAGGGAATAAATACATAACGCCAAGTGGATACAAGAAGAAAGGTTTATTGTACACAACAAGTACAATATGAAACACGGTTATACACACAAGTCAATCTAGTAGTGAGTGCCACTAATTGGAAGGTCGGACGTGCTTGCGTTGTCTCGCTCGCTCGTCTTTGAGTCTCTCGTAGACGGTTGACTTTATAGGTACTTGCTACCTATAGTGTGATCATTCATGGGGGTGACTGGTTATTCCATTACATCACTTTGGTATTTCTAAAATTTTGGTACCGCCCTGTAACATTTAATTCTTACATATTCAAAATTTTACTGCAATTCATGTGAAGGAAACTTAAAAAAAAACATTAACTTGGTTTTTAAACAAGCCTCCAAAGACCATGACGTCCATGAAAGAGAAAAAAAAACCCCAAAAAACAAAAAAAAACCCAAAAAACAAAACAAAAAGACAGTTAAATATATATAGTTTTCAAAACATATAATAAAGAACTGAAAGGCAGAAATATAAAATATTTGAATGAAAGTTTATTCTATGATATACTTTGATCATTTTAATCATAAAATAATAATGCAAAATGAAATTTGAATTCTGCTCGCAAAATTTACCCAGCATTTACAACGAGGCCATCCTGAGTGAACTAGAAGTTTTAACATGATTTATTGTTAGTGAACATAATCTTAACAACATGCAGGGTTCTCTGGGTGTGCTTTGTGAATTATGGATATCGTCCAAAGTGACTTCTTCCCACGGGGCCAGACGATCAATCAGCCCCTGCGACGTTTCCTTCTCCCAGCGTGCGAGAATGGACGAGCGTTGTGACAGGAGAAATTGTGGCTGCTTCACCACGACAATGTAACTTATCATAACGCCCTGAGCATCCGGCAATTTCTGGCCGAAAAGAACATTGCCGTACTGGAATAAACTTCCCTATTGACCTGATCTTGTTTCAGTTGAGTTTTTTTTTCCCCAAAGTCAAGGGGATCATCAAGGGGACACGTTTTTGAAGGCGTGGTGCCCATCAAGAGGGCCGTAACGACGGAGCTGAAGTGCATCCAAGAAGAATCTATCCAGCAGTTCATAGAAGCATGTCAGTGAAGGATGGAAAAGTGCATTAGACTTGAGGCAGGTACTTTGAAAAAGAAAAACCATGTAGTTTGTTGTTTGGAATTGAAAGAAACTGTGACCCCCAGACCCGTTACTTTTCAGACAGACCTTGTAGGGTATGCAGATAACATAGTATTGATAGAAGACACGGAAATAAAACTGCATGAACTCCTGGAGAAGGTAGTAAAGGAAAGAGAGAAGAAAGGACTAAACCCAAATTGTAAAAAGACGGAAAGTATAGTTGTCAGCAACAGGAACAGCCCAAGATGTGAATTACGAATTGGTGATGCCAAAATTATGCATGTACGAAAAGTTAGATATATGGGAAATGCTTTAACAGAGGGCGAAAAATATGATTCCGAGATGCGAAAGCGTTTTTGAATCTTTCGGGATGATTGCAAAATGCTTTCCCCTCCCCATTTTGTTGGTAGAAGCACGCAAATGCACGCTGGGATTTTTTCCTAGCCAATAAAATAGGACAGTTCTCAGTTTCATCGGTCTCAGTCCCGGTCTGTCCTGCCTTGAAGTCAGAATGCTACGTTCGCTTGTCCGAACATGCTTTTGTGTGTCAAACCCAATTCTTAGTCTCTGAACGCTTTGCCATAGTACTGTTACTTTGCCTTATTACTGTTAATTTGACTTGCATATATTTTTTGTTTGCTTTATATTATGTTTTGCACTGTTCTTTATTCTTTTCTTTTTCTTGTTATTGCTTATTGCAAACGTTGGCAATTCTGTTTGTTGGACATTTCTGTTACTTATTTTGTATTTGACTATGCGTACTCACGACACAATATTATCCCTCCAATATAGCAGTGACATGTGGACATTCTCCTCCCAGAGACATGAAGCAAAAGACATGTGGTTC